ATCCGCAGGTAGTTGTCGGTACCCTCACAGAGCTGGAAATCAAGGACGTCAGGCCCATCATTATTTGTACAAGTGAGCTGGTTGGTATCGAGATCGAAAGAGCAAGGGTATCGCGGATCCTTACAGGTGAGGATACCGTCATTCAAGAAGCAGGACCACGGGGGCCTGATCAAAGCCTGGAGCTCTATTAATCGGTGTCTGTGAACAACGCTGTCCTCAGGATAGACAAAGCCAAGTTTGGCCCAGGCAGCAGTGCTGTCGCGAAGAATTCTCCCGTCCAGTATGTACCTTGTGGCATCGGCAATGGATGTGACAGTTTGGATGTAGATCCCGTTACCTGAGATATAGAAGGGTGTACCATTTCTCATGCCCTGGAGATAGAAACTGCCCGCGCAAGTCGTAGGGAACGCCAACGATGTGGACCAGGGAGCAAAGAATTGGTCGACGGTGGTTGAGGTACTCGTGGTTATCGAAGAGGTCGTCGTCGAAGAGGAGGAAGAAACCGATGTGATCCCGCCAGTCGTGGTCGTGGACTGCTCCGTGCTAGCAGTAGTAGTGGGTGCTGTAGTGCTGCTTGTGCTTGCAGTGCTGCTTGTGCTTGCCGCGCTGCTTGTGCTTGCGGTGCTAGTCGTGCTTGTTGTGCTCGTCCTCGTCGTGCTTGTTTTGCTCGTCACGCTGGTTGAGCTTGTCCTGCTCGTCGTGCTTGTTGCGCTTCTGGAGCTGCTTGTACTGCTTGTCACCAACAAGGATGTAGACATCGTCGAGCTTGTTGCCAGGCGTATTGTAGAGCTTGTCACAGTTGACGGCTGTGTGGTAGTAGTTTGACTCGTGGAAGACCGTACAGTAGTCGTAACTGTCCTCGTTGAGGACGTCGTGCCCCTAGTAGTAGTCACTGATCTGGTCGTCGTCGACGTTGAAACATTGGGAATTTGCGTGATCCCTCGCAGCTCCAGAGAGTTGAAGCCAGCAATCTGACCAATACCTAGCAGTCCAGTAGAGTCCACCACAAAACCAGTGAGATTATCGCAGCTACAGCTGAGTACGTTTGCCTCGCTGAGACTACACACGCAAGGAATGTGTCCATTCGATGGCATAGCGATCTGCTCCGGGGTAGAGAACAAGACAATTGACCCCAGCTCAATCTGTCGTCTCCGGCCTGACGGATTGTTGCGTTGTACATTCGCGACTCTGCCAGTTACTTTGTCAATCAGTCGACCGCCGGAGGTGGTCGACAAAACAGACGCCGCATTGTTCTCGCTAAATTTGAGTTGATCTCCCGACAACGCAGCGCTCGCGCCATTGAGAGCATTCCCGACTCCGAACGCTTGGAGTGTGAACGACTTGAGTGTTGGGTCAGCAGCCGGCGAAGTCGTTGTGGTTGTAGTACTCCTAGAAGTACTTGACGTAGCTGTAGTCGTCGATGTTGTAGGTCTACTCGTTGTTGTTGTCGTTCGACTTGAAGTAGTCGTCGTTGTAGTTGCACCTCTACTAGAGCCCGTTGTAGAAACTGCCCCTCTTCTCGAAGTCGTCGTTGTGGTCTTGCTCGTCGTTCGCGCCGTCGTTTTCGTGGTGGTCGTTGGAGGGGACGGATTGCGGCATGTCCTGTCGTAGAATGCATAGGGTGACCTGGAGTCGCGTCGTACAAAGCTAGAACATGTCGCCGAATAGAGGCGGCACTGATTCTCGCCGTACCCGTAGGCTTGACACTTGGACGATTTTCTGCAGTTGGCAACGCATTGAGAGAAGCTGCACCGACTCTGGCTCAGAAACTTTCGAGTCCTGCCGTCAGTACCTCGTAGGCCGCATGTGCTTGGAGCTCGTTCGGTAATTTCATTGATCGATGCTGTAGTCGCAGGTGCCACCGCGACTGACAGGACAACAGCCAACAGAGTGATTAAACGCATTGCTGATGTTGAGGAAGCACCAGAAGATTCGACTAGGGGCGTAGCAGCACGAGGAGGTTATTTTGTCAAGTCCTCCATGGTCCGGCGAGGCATTCCACGTGGCTCTGTAGTGGGAAGGAAGTCGAGGAGCTGGCCAACATCTTGAAATACACTAATGCATTGATAGATGCATGGACACCACGAGGCTGTTTCCATGAGCGAATCAGTACAAGGAGCGCGGACGAAATAGTGCATCTAGCGAAGCCATCTTCCTGTGGCTGGCTGAAGGCACCAATGTCTGCTGGCCGGAAATAGCGCCGAGATTCTTCTTTGGGTCCAGAACAGCTTGGCTCGTTTGGCGCGGCATCCTTGCATACCTAGCATTTGCTCTTGGGATTAGACACATATAACGAGAGGATTGTCGAGGAAGCCGATGCATAGTCTCCTTACACGTAGACCTGTTTTCCAGACCGAATTGCTTGTGACAGTCGCAAAGTGATCAATCGTAGTCACGGCCAACGGAATACTCGAGAGCCAGCGGTGGCTTAGCTGAAAGGGAGCGCCACACGGCACCTAGTGCAAAGTGTGATGGCTTGCCTTGCACCAAGATTCGTGCTATACTGTGCCACCAATGAGTCGCGGCACGGTATATTTGTCGAGCAACAACACAATGCTACGATTCTGCAGAGCTTGAGGTGGACCTCGGCCACAGCGGCGTTTAATTCGTTGAACGTCACTGTTTCCATCATAGCGTCCAGCGCGCGGCCAATCGACTATAACCATCATAATAGCACGATACTTCTGAGAAGTCCTGGCTCGAAGACTTCGCTGGATCCTGTGGTGCCGTCCTTCAATGGCCCATAGCCAGGTTGGACCAAATTCGTTTTCGCTCGCTTGGCTGCATCTGAGCCATGGACCCGAACTCTCATTCGAGGTTTCCAAGCAAGACTTTGCCAGGTATTCGTCCCTGAGCTGGCCACGCAGTGCCGGGTTATGCCTCGGCTTCAAAACAAATAGTCTTGCATCGCATACGCACGGATTCTTCGAGAGCCTTAGTTTTGCCTTGTCAGTCCCAGCAGGGCTTTTGCCCGATTTGGAAGAGTCAGTATAGGCGTGTAGGGCAAAGACTCTTGACCCATGTTGTACTTGCTCAAAATCACGGAATCCGAGTCCGAACTTCCATAGACGACATTTGCGCGAATTAGTTGCCCTCACCCTGGCATGGCAAAGACTGGGCACTGTTGAGACATTTGGCGATGTTTCCAGGTGTGGTTTCGATGACATGTGATTGAAGTACAACCGCAGGATGTCGACTGTTGAGGGAGAATGGTAAGTCCGCCGGGGCAGAAACTTCCTCGGCAAGCGGCAACCATAGCCGACCACACTTTGTATGTCGAAACGTAACGTGATGTGTTCGGGCACTGAAAATTAACATGTATTCCTTCAACATAGGCAAAAGGCAACCACAGCAAGAGAGATCCTTCTCGGTAGGAGCTGCCGGCACGGTTATACCGGGCTTGACTAACAAGCTTTACATAGACTCAGCTGAGCAAGGACTCCCCAACTCAGTCTCACATACCCAGTAGGGCCTTTCACATGATTATTCGACCAGTACATAACGACAGTACCACCGAACATCGCATGTCTCGATGGAGCTCTCTCTTCCAAGACTTCATGACATTCATTCTGTTTTCCAACCTTTGAAGCTCTAGGGAACTGTCCTCCATCAGCCCATTCCAGTCTATAGGAACCATACCGACGACTGCCAAGTCCGGTAAACCTTCGTCGTGCGAAGGATACCCTTGACAGGAGGAACATGCACATCATCATCATCGGCGCTGGGCTTGGCGGGCTCTCTGCCACCATAGCATTCTCGGATACATCAACCAATGGGCCCAACAAGCATAAGATCACACTTCTCGAACGCCGTCCCCATCTTTCGCCTTCGGGCGGAGGCATGAATATTCGTCCTGGCGCTTCGAGAATCCTACATTCTTGGGGATTGAAAGCTGATCTTGAGAAAATCGGAGATGTGACAAGAGGCTTCCTGATCCGAAGTGTGAACACTGGAGACATTGCGACGAAGAATGTTGGCGTGGAAATTAGTGGCGAGACTGATTGGGGAGTCTTGAGAGAGAATTTGATGGCTTTGTTTTGGAAGAAGGTAGAAGAGCGTATGAATGCTGGTGCAGACATTGAAGCAAGATTTGGTGTTGATGTAGACAAGGTTGAAGAGGATGAAAATTTGGGTTTTGCTAGAGTGCACTTGGGAGGTGGTGAGGTATTGGAAGGCGATTTGATCTTGGCTGCGGATGGGATTCGATCGAAGATTCGGGCTCCGATATTGGAGGACTGTGGTAAAAACGTTGACCCAATCATCAGTGATACTACACTTTATGGTGTCAAGGTCAAAGCGGAAAAGGTGTTGGAAAGAGATGAGACCAAAGGATTGGGAATCTCTGATTTTGCGACAGTGTGGGCTGGGCAAGATCGATTTGTGGTGTCAAGGCTGAACGCAAAGACAGGCATCTGTAGTGGACTGTTCGGGATCAGAGCAGACAACGACATGAACGGGTTGTGGGATGAGAAAGGAGATCTCCATTATGTGAGAGAGTATTTCAAGGGCAGCTGCGATGATCTTACGACCGTGTTGGACATGGCAGAGGTGTGTGATCGATGGAAGTTAGGTAAGTATCTGTCCAGCATTCTCCCGCATGGAACCATACATACTTACCCACCTTTCTCACAGCTGAGCTGCCAGATCTACCACGCTGGACCAGCAAAGGCGGACGCATTGCTCTATTAGGAGACAGTGCACACGCAATGGTATGCAGCGTATATCCTGCACGAGTGAGGGTATTCTGACCTATTCCAGGAACCGCACGCCGCACAAGGATACTCCATGATCGTCGAAGATATCGGTGTGCTGCAATACCTCATATCCCGGAAGCCTAACCCCTCACAAAGTCTTCCAGAGATCCTCGAAACATGGGAACGGCTCCGTAAGCCTCGAGCAGAACGCATCAAAGCATACGCAAAGCACAATGGTGCTTCTTTCCTCGGTTCGACGCCATTTCCCTCCATACGACCAGCTCGCAGTACCACCGCTTCCAACAAGAAAGATGCTCTGCCAGCCAAGAGCCTGAAGGACGTGAGACCAGATATGAATGCGAAGTTCGAGTCGGCGGCCTTCCTGAAGTGGGCACTCGACTATGATGCCGTGGCTGAGGTATGTTATGGCTCCTTCCAACATGCCAAGCGCATGAGTACTGATCACATCCTATCCTCCCAGGCCAAGAAATATCTCGAAAGCAAGTCGTCTCGTCTGTAAATCTCCCCTCTGGTGACCATCAAAGACCATAAAACTGCGAACGCCATCAATCATATATATCCCCAACCCGTGCGACCGCTCCTCTTTCGATCAGCAGTCCACCCATCTTGGCATACATCCGCACGATCGCATTCGCATCCATCCGTGCCAACTTCCCCGTACATATACCACGAGCGATCGCACACATACCAGACAAGCCTTTCCGCACTGCAAGCCACTTTCCCATTCTTTCACGTTTTCTCTTGCCTTATACCAATGCGATCGTCCTGCCCATGTGGTTTTTGCCATGGTACCACAACTTTGGTTCTCAAACTGATCTACAGGCACAAATGCACGCCATGTGTGTCGCGCATGGTAGTTCTTATACTTGTATATACTTCGCAACGTGGAAGCCACTGGAAGGGAGATCTACAGAGTGATGTGCAGATAACTTAGTATGTGTTGACCTCACGTCGTGGATGTGATGTTCGTGATTGTCGCATTTTCTTTGTTTTCTCCTTTCTGGATCGTGATAGCTGTCTACTATCCCTGTCAATACTATGATATTTTGGGCGACGAGGTGGACCCCTCGTTGGGGGTAGTCTGCATGCCGTTGGACGAAGATCGACAAGTTATGCGAATCAGTAGAGTTGAGAGGGTGTCACTATGTGTCAGTACAAACGGTCTGTCAGTGCGCACCCTGTCACACGTGCGATTGAGAGTTGGAAGTTTGTATGTCGAACAAATTGGTATAATAAATAATATGTACAATGAGTATTTCTCAATGTTCCCCTTCGCTAAAGTTTCATCATGATATCGGGTTTCGCTCAACGAGATCGCTTGGAATCTTCTAGTTGGCGTAACCTGCACCTGGGTAGGCCTTGAAAAGCTGGCTGTTGAAGTTGGCAGCCTCGAGTTGTGGGCATGAGAGGCCGGCAACAGCATTGGTGATGGCACCGGTGATTGGGCCAAGAGCGTTCTGCACGATCGAGAGAACACCATCGAGCTGGTCGATACCTCCAGCCATAGCAGCGCCGAAAGCGAAGCATGCAAGGTTGTTGCCCTGGAAGAGTGTAGCGCCATTGAAGGCACCACCAGTCAGATCAGACACGTCAAGACCAGTGAAGGAGTTGGTTGTGCCAGTGTTGCCACCGATGCGGAGAGTGTTTGGGTTGGTCTGAGCGCCAGCGAGCAAGTCGATGAAGACATCGGCAAGGCTGTAGGCATCAGCAGTGTTGCGGCGGTACCAGTTCAATGGGATGCGCTCCTGGCCGCGGTTGTGAACATATGTGCCTGGGTTGTTGCCAGATGCACCCTCGCCAGTACCGCTGACTGCGAAGAAATCCTTAAGCATGGCCTCGTCGAGATATCCACCTGGGTTCTCGGCGGTGTGGTTGGACATGAAGTTGACAACGACTGCAAGGTACATTAGCGTTGAACCCAGCAATGAAGCTCTTACGAGTTCACTCACAGTTGTGTGCGGCTGGCGCGACGAGACCAGAGAAAGGTCCCCAGAAAGCGTATGGGTTGTTCTCAATTGAGAAGGTGGTCACCTCATCAGCGTGTTGGGTGACCTTGTCCAAGGTGAGACCATCGTTGCCGTTGTTGGTGCTTTGGATGAGTGAGTTCCACGATCGCCACTGGAAGACACCAACGTCGCCATTGTTCAAGTATGCATCGCCACGAACGATGGATGCATCGTTCTCGTACTTGGAGTGAGATCCGACAATACCCTTGGGGTTGCTGAGGAGAAGCGGCAAGGATGAGGGGAATCCGCCACCAATAGACCATCGTGTAGATGGAATATCACCAGAGATGAGAATCGCAATGGCAGCCAGACCTGCGGCGAGCTCTGGGCTCATACCGTAAGCCTTGCCCAGACCGTCAACTGTCTGCTGGATGTTGGCGAGACCGTTTCGTGGCAAGACTATGATCTGTTAGCTACTACGTTAAAGATCGAGAATCGTGACACCCACATCCGTGATTGGCCGCGGCGTTCAATCCTGGACATTGGCCACGAAGGTCGCGAGCTCCTGGTGATCGGAATGGGTTTGGACCACCATCGGTCACATCAACGTATTGTTGCTGTGCGTTGAATGTTGGGTTTGGGTGACCGCCACCAGTGTTCTTGCGGCCAGCGCCAAGTTGTCGCTTAACGATGGCATCCATCTCCATGGCCACAGGCCAGGCGGCGGCAGAGCCAGCCAGAGCGGCAACAGCGAAAGCAGTCTTCATGATGAAAATCCTTGAGAAGTGATGCGAAGGAGAGAGAAGTTGATCGATGCCAGAAACTGACTCTTGAGGATTGGCAAGGTCTTAATATACACGCAAGGAACCTTTTGCTCACCATGTGAAAATTGCCTTCACCGTTGGCTCGAATTCCATAAATGCCGATCAAGACATCAGAGGTAGCGACGGCGTCTGCGTTCGTCTCGCAACCTGACAGAGGCATCGACCAATCTCAGAGAAGGCATTTGCGAAACGATGCATAATGGCGCAGAGGGCTGTAGGCAGAGTTCTCCGCATCGTTTGACTTTGCCGTCGCGTCTTACCATAGTAGGAAGGTATCGTGTACATCAACTCATGGCCACAACAACATTTTCCGGGGAAGCATGTCGCCCTTGTGAACCAGTTCTCGAAAGATCTGCATTCGCTAGGTTGCATCGAGACGCGGAAAATGACCTGTACGCGGGGTCGCAGCGGCTGATGCAAAGCAGGACAAGCCTGCGGTAGATCAGCTGCACTACTTACGCACCGGCGCAAGCCACAACGACTCTTTGCTTTTTCAATCCGGCAAAGACGGATTTGTTGAGGAACAATGTACTTGTCGCCATTCAGCGTGCACAAGACTTCGCTTACATCACTCCACATTTTGGTAATGTTAGAAGTAAGCGTAACCCCAGGCCAATCGCATGGAGATGGCTTGGAGGCATCTCTTCAACGTCACAACGACTGTCTCCAGGAGTTCACGTAGGCGTGCGCCGCCGCGTTGGAGCCTCTGCTTGCATAAAGTGACACCGAATCTTCGAGCCATCCGCTCTGGGACGGAGCCGAAGTCCGGTCTCTGCGATCCGCCAAAAGTCTGCCCATGAGGACTGGCTTTGAGTTGCAACGAACAGAGCCTCACAGCCTTTGCCACTGCCGCTTTCCGTGTCCAGCCCTCGAACAGTGGCGGCTCGAGGTGCGTTATCCGAGATCATGGGAGGGCTGAGCACTGCAGCCGACCTTGCAAGCTGCGATGGTGGGAGAATCTGACATTCACTGCGGCCGCCACTCCAAGACCTGAAGTGTTTGGTTCTCGCCGCCAAGCTCCTGGCACAACTGCCTCCGACAAGGTGGCGTCTCGTGATGGCGAATCTCAAAAGTCGACTCTTCGGCATGTTCTCCATAGAGAGGCCGACGCATCCTTTGCCCGGTTCACGTGTGGTCAGCAGCGCAATGTCGTGCTCCGGGATTTGCGGCATATGTGTGGGACATGCTTGACCATGATGCTTGGCTCAGTGTGAAGGTACATGCACGGAGGGAAAGTCCAAGAGACATTACGGCCTTAGCAACGTGGTGCAACGGTGAATGTAGACAGGGCGGCCGTGCTCCTTTCGACGAAGTCGTCAATTTTCGCCCTACGAGTTGATTGCAACCGGGGAAGGTTGTACTGGCCCAAACACTGTTATTAGATGCGGAGCGAGCGCCCTCAACCTGGACGGTCCTTTTCCCGGTCAAATCGATTATATCCAGGCTTTCTAAAGGCAAGAGAAATGAACTTTCGAATCTGCCAAAAGATCAAGTTGAAGTCCAATCTCGTGTTGCCACTCCACTGTGATTCTGGGCCCTGTGATATCCAAAATGCCGGCGTCGCGCTTCCCCACAAGCTCTCCAGTCCCCTTCCGCGCTTGCGGTCTGCTGGCCCTGCCTTAGCATCAAGACCAGGTGGCGAAAGTCTCGAAATCGAACATGCAGGGTTCAGCTCCTACCGGAATTGCTTCTCGTGGTGATTCTCAATGATACGACGTTTGCGAGGTTCGCATAACATTTTCGTTTGAGCCGTCCCACTCACGAAGGTGGCGTTGAGCCTCACGGATGCGGCGTTGGATATCGCAACGCCATGGCAATGTCTCGTAGCAGCTGGCTTCGTTCCAATACGAGCCTCATGATGGTGTGATGGCTCTTGTGGTATTCGTGCAATTGGCACAATGTTGTAGATGTTGCATGCTTTGCCCCACGATTTCGAGGCGTTCTATGGCTGTTCTTTTCTCCTTCCATGATCGAGTCGGCTCTGTCCGCTTTGGGAGTGCTTCACACAGAGGGCGCAGATCTCTATGTGACAAATACAGGACGATACTGGGAGTGCTGAACTACAGAGCTAGAACAGCATGTGCGATTCCAGGCATCGTCGCTGCTCAACTTCAAAATAAATGCGCTTGTTCATCCCAGCAGAAGCTCCAGCTGGAGCTAGCAGGCGCGGAGTCTGCGAATTTGTGATACACAAATCTTGCCCAGGCCTCTGTGACGCGAATCGGGAGAGCGTATTTTGTGGCGACTCTACTTCCGACTCCCTCTTATTCTCGCGATTTCGGTATGTCTTGCAGCTGTGCAAGGACGCACATGAGGTGAAAGACATGCTGGAAAGCTAGCTTCACCCATGATTCCACTGGGGGATAATGGGCTGGTCATGTGGCAATGCTAGCCATCATCTGCTCTCAGTGACCATTCAGGCCAGATTTCGGCGTGGGTGAGTCCTTTACAACATACGCTTGCGATGGTCGAAGGAGATCAGCGGGATAGTCAGCGAAGAGCGCCCTTTTCTGGCAGTTGACAAGGCGCGAGACCGCCCAAATCTTGAGTTTCGCCGCTGACGTGGAAGATTCCAGTTTGGAGCGGATTGGCGGAGGTAGCCGCAGTCTTGATATCCATGTTGGCGGTAGGTGGTGTCGCATTCAGAGGCTTGAAGCTGTGAGCGGAAGGAAGCTCGGAGCAAAAGTTCCGATCACGTGACAGTGTCTGTTTACTTGTCGATTCACGTCGGCGCGTCGCCCTCCATTGCCGTCAACCTATGCGCCGGTACGCCTAGGTCTGTGGCTATTGCAGACCACAACAACAGCATGGCAGCCAGCGATCAGACAACGACGGCGCTGCTGACCGAACACTTCCGATACACGCCGCTCACGCTACTGGACGACATCATTAACACCGTCAACGAGCTTGTCTTCAGAGCTGTGACCGCGATCGAAACAGGCTTGGGGAACGAGTCCGCTGAAGAGCTCGGATTCCGGCTGGACTCAGAGACGGCAGCTTCATTACCGAACGACGAGGCGCGAGAAGAAGCGCTTGCAGAACTGAAACAGAATGAGATTGACAATGGTGTTGTAAAGTTGGAGAGCCTGTTGAACGCGACAGTGGATAAGGATTTCGACAAGTTTGAGATTTACACGCTGCGGAATATCCTGGCTGTAGGACACAAAGAGGATGATCTGGCCAACTGGGTGCGCCTGGAGCACTACAAAGGCGTCGATATGACAACTGTAGAAGATGTGCCCAGCCCGGAGGCAGTCGAGCTGCAGAGGAAGAAATTGCATGAGACCGCGAAGCTGAACATCATGCTGAAGAGTGAAGAGGCCAAGAATGCTGCTATCTTGGAACAAGTGAGTGGACTCATTGGCGCCAACTTGAAGCAGGAAGGACAGACAGGCGACGCGCCGTTTGCATTCTTGAACGCGACATCTGGTGAGAGCAAGCACCTCGAACAAGACACGCAAGCTGCTCTCAGTCAAATACCGGCATTACAGAAGCTTCTCGCAGGGCTCAAGGACGCGATGCAAACGATACAGACGGCCAGAAAGAGCAAGCACGACGATGAAGACAGTGCAGAGGGTAGGCGCAGACGATACCTCGAGAGCCAGAGCCGGAGAGCGCTGGAGCGCAAAGGTATCGACCTCGAATCATCAAGCACAACGTCCTTGGCTGCAGGCAGGAAAATGGGTCGCGATGAGTTGCAAGGCATCGAATCCGTCGTGCAGGCGCTTGGTGGTGCTGAAGCTGCGAAGAAGGGCAACGACTGAGCTATTTGCAGCGTGACATATCTGCAAGCACGTGCACATCTGCCAGTACTTCTTCAGTAGGATACTGCCCTACTCTTGGTTCCAGCACATAGGCTGAAGGAGTACTTCAGCATGTGCGCCACTCCCGCTTCTCGGTTCCGAAGAGATGTTGTTCGCCACTCTGGAGGATATCATACCACATTCGCCGGCACAGTCTATATCAGCAGGTGAACTGGTGTCATCAGGCAGGGCTTCGCACTGTCGCTGCTACCTCAACCACGCCTGCGAACAGAGTGCCAGATTTCAACATGGGCAGCAGTGAAGAAATCACTCTTGTGGCTATCGTCAAGACCCAGCCTGGGAAAGGCGAGCGGGTATGCGAAGATGAACATCCAAGTCAAAGCATCGGAGCTGACTGCTTAAAAGTTTGTCGAGCTCAGCACAGAAGCTTACAACACCTTCGCGCTAAAGGAACCTGGATGTCTGCAATTCCAGATCATTCGGCAAGATGGAGACGGTTCCGCGGACAGTGCGCAGACATGGGCAGTCATTGAAAGGTGTGCACAAATGCTTCAGCTCAAAGGTGCAGTGAGAATGTGGGCACTGATAGTCTGCATAGATATGCCAGCAAGGAGCATCTTGCACAGCATCGGTCGACAGATTCCTACAGCCGTCTGTTTGAACAGTTCGTGGCTGAAGAACTCCTATCGGGCAATCCGATGATGTTTGAAGGCAAAGCGGTCGAGATGGGACACTTTGACAGGCCATTTGACGCAGGGAAGAAGTGACAAGTTCGAGCTCGATGCATATTCCTACGAATACGACGGTGTTGAAACAATTACGGGCGGCTTTTGTTCGCAGTCGTGGTCTACAAGCCGTCTCTCAATAGCCGATGGACATCTTTCGATTACGTATCATCACATCGTATCGTGTTCACATGTACAATGCTTGCCGTTCAAATATCATGTGCTCTTACCCAGACTCTTCTAGACTTTAGTAAAATTCTTTGAAATCATGAAGTGAAGTGCAGTGACGCTTTCTTGTTCCACCGTTGTCTTTCTTCGTCATTCCTGCCTCGGCCCGATTTTGTCCCCCACAGCAAACATCACTCTTCCGACTCTTCTCGCCCGACTTGCAGACAAACAAACACAACCACCAACACCAATATACACTAGATCCACGAACCAAATACAGGAAAGATGCTGGAGGTCATCTATGTCGTGAGACATGGGGTAAGTCATTCCCGAGCGCGCTGCAATCAGCAGTCTTCGAGAGGTCGCGACAACGCGCCAAGTGGAGCAGGCATGTGATCTGAGCAGCAACTACCGCGTTTGGAAGTTCTATCAAGATGTTCGATATGGCTTGAATTGGCAATGAGAATTAAGCATGGGAGGACAAATGCCGTCTCGCCGATTCGTATCTACCAGCAGAACCACGACTGACACCTTCACTTCAGTACCGCTCCAACTGGACCGTCGACCCATCCACAGGTCACTACAACAGCACCGTACCCTCACCTACAGGCATAGTCGCCGACCCAGCCCTCGCCTCATACGGCGTCCAACAAGCCCGCGAACTCGGAACACACCTCACAAAACTCAACCCACCAGTGGATCTGATCTACTCCTCTCCCTTCTACCGCTGCATCCAAACGCTCAAACCCTTCACCGACTCTCTCGCCTCCTCAGGCAAACCCGCCAAAGTCCACGTCGATCGCGGCGTAGGAGAATTCTACGGCCAAGCACGATTCGACCACCCAAGTCCGGCAACGATCGAAGTTCTGAACGAACATTTCGACAACCTCGTCGAGGCTGAGACGAGCATCATCCCTTCCAAGAACGGCGAATCAATTCCTCAACTTCACGACCGAGTAGCGTACGCTCTCGATGCTATCATTTCTCGCGCCGACAACGACCCTTCAGAGCCCAAGACTTTGCTGATTTGCACGCATGCCGCCGCCATGATTGCCATCGGACGAGCGCTCACTGGTCGCATGCCGGAGGACGAATGCGAGGATGATTTCAATTGCTTTACGTGCTCATTCAGTAAGTTCGTAAGGAAGCCGCAGAGCAGATTCACGGGAGGTGGAGTGACAGGCATGGGACTTCCGAATGCGTGGAATCCCGAGAAAGCAGACGAAGTGCCGGACGTTGGGTGGAGAGGGAGAGGTGTTGCTGGAGGTTGGGACTGTGAGGTCAATGGCGATTGTTCGTTTTTGACTGGTGGCGAAGAGCGAGGATGGTGAGTGACGACCCTTTTCTTTTCTTCTCGTGCCCCTTGAGTTCCACATTCTTGCCTCCCAAAGGTTCCCTCCAGGACGATCACAACTAGCCCCGCCCTTTGTCTCTTCCATCCAGGCCCCGGCGCTCTACCTCCACCTCAATCGTTTATACAAGGCCATCTCTGATCACTTCCGTCTTTCTACCAAACAGGAACTTCGAAATGGAGAAACAGCAATACAACATGGAACACGGCCTCGCACCCGATGCTCTCGGTCCACCTCTCACCGCCGAACAACAAGTGGCAGCGCCAGGCGTAGAAGAAGACAAGGAAGCAGGCAAAAAGCAGTAGTGCTGCATTTTCCTCTTCGTCCTCCTCATCGGCTCCCTGATCGGCCAAGTCGTCGCCTATCATATGATCTCGCGCGAGGACGGAGAAGCGGTCCAGAGCACGGCTTGTACTGGGGATTTCTGCTTTCGCGGCACCAGTTCTAGTTCAGGGATTGGGAGTGGAGAGTTGAGGCTTTGATTGTCGTCGCGGAGACACAGCTTGATCTCGCAAACAGCAGCAAATCGGGATATCTTGCTTACGGGCTTGCGACATAGGCATTTCACTGGCGACGAAAGTTTTCTCAATGACGATACAGGGAATGATCAGGTCGGATTAGGGAGTACGGTTGCTGCGACGGGTAGTGATGTGATAGATTATGGGTCGGAGTCTTTGCATTGGAGTGATAAAGTCAGGAAGAAGTCTGGGTCAAGGCTTTGATGATAGAGAAAGACAGAAATTTGCATGCCTGAGGGAACAGTTGAACGTTCAGGGTCAGAGGAAACGGATAGACGAGTTGTGGCAAGCCTGGCAAATGGCCGAAGTTTGGAAGCCTTTTCGATTGATTCGTTCTCGCTTTCGTGCATGCTTTTCTTTTCGCATGCTGCGTGCGGCAGAGAGCAGTGGTATAGAAACTGCCTAGCAAGTAATCTGACTTGCGTTCCGCGCTTGTCCCATCCTGTCAAATGACATTGCCCATCGTGCGCCCTTGGATTCATCCGAAAACATCAACTCCTTTTCACCTTAGCCATTGCCCTGCTCGTCCGGAAGGTGCCACTCTATGCGGCGGTGATGGCCTTGCGCTGGCGCTGAGCGCGCTGGCGGGAGTTGAGGTGAAGGCTCTTGCGCTCGACGGTCTCTGGCGACTTTTGCACGACCTCCTCGCCCTCGGTGAGGATGAGCTCGATGTGGCATGGGTTGCTCATGTATGGGTTGATCTGTGCGATGCGTTAGACTGCGCACGGCGAGCAATGGCTGGATCGCAAACTTACACGACCGTGGGCACGGTATGTGCGGCGGCGCTGCTTAGGAGCCTGGTTGACCTGGATGTGCTTGACAATCAGGTTGGAGGTGTCCAGACCCTTGGTGTCGGCGTTGGCCTCTGCGTTCTTCAAGAGAGAAGAGAGGAACTCAGCCGACTTGACTGGCCAGCGGGCCTTGCTGACGCCGAACTGCTTGCCTGAAATTGTCTCTCAGTATGATGCCCCAAATTCTCTTCACAGCACCATCTTTCGATGTATTTGCATGTTTTCATGTGTATGTTTCCACCTATGCATCCTCGCACATGGCAGCCACATCACCATGAGATGGGCCTACGTACCTTGAGCTGTACGGCCAGTGCTCCCGGCATATCTCCTCATTGGCACCGCCTCGGCCTTGTTCTGCACATTGTCGAGGTATGTGAGAGCGCGCTGCAACTTCCAGCCGTTGATGGCCTGTGCCGTCTCGCGGGTGTTCTTGAACGACACACGTAGGTAAGAGCCGCGGGCGCGGGCGCTCTTCGCGGACTCGATTTCGGTGGCGGCGTATCGGACCTGGCGCGTTCAATGTCAGCGGGGCGGACGAGGATGGCGATGCAGTATGCGCAGGAGTTGTACCATTTTCTCGGTGTTCGTTGGGCGACGAGGTGGTGTGTAGATTCAAGGTCTCGCGAAGTTCAGCGGCCTCTGGAGAAAGTGCGCAGAATTACAGGTCTTGGCTTTTGCGGGACTAGCCTAGATTCGGACTAGCGCAAGCTGCCAAAATCTCGAGCTCCATGAGAAAAGTCTCTTGCGGAGAGCTTGCAGCACACGACCCATTACTTCCTCCCAACACAATAATCCTCAATATGGCTTTCACTCCCGGAGGACGAGGTGGTCGCGGCGGCGCCCCACGCGGTGGCGGACGCGGTGGCTTTGGCGACAGAGGCGGCCGTGGTGGCTCAAGAGGTACTTTTTATGCGCCTGCGATGGCCAGACGATAATGCTGATACCTGACAGGCGGATTCGGCGGTGACCGCGGTGGGCGCGGCGGACGGGGCGGTGGTCGTGGAGGTGGTGACCGAGGAAGAGGAGGAGGCCGAGGCCGTGGTGCTCCTCGTGGGCGTGGAGGTCGTGGTGGTGGAGCGCCTGGCGCAAAGGTACAGAGCACGAATACAGCAAGAGTAAGGCAATAGACACTGACACGATGTTCGCAGGGTGGTCAAAAGGTCATCATCGAGCCACACAGACACGCGGGTGTCTTCGTCGCTCGCGGCAAGGAAGACTTGCTCGTCACGAAGAACTTGACTCCCGGCGAGGCCGTCTACGGCGAGAAGCGCATTTCCATCGATACTCCTTCGACTACAACCGGCGATGCGTCCAACGGCGACGCTGTCACCACCAAGACCGAGTACCGTGTATGGAACCCCTTCCGATCGAAGTTGGCTGCTGGTATTCTTGGAGGTCTGGAGGACATCCACATGAGGCCTGGCAGCAAGGTTCTTTACCTTGGTGCTGCTTCTGGTACCTCCGTCTCTCACGTTGCTGACATTGTCGGCCCTACTGGTACCGTCTTCGCTGTCGAGTTTTCCCACCGATCAGGCCGTGATCTCATCAACATGGCGACACACCGCACGAACGTCATCCCTATCGTCGAGGACGCCCGTCACCCACTGAAGTACCGCATGCTCGTCAGCATGGTTGACTGCATCTTCGCCGATGTTGCTCAACCCGATCAAGCACGTATCGTCGGCCTTAACGCCCACCAGTTCTTGAAGGTGGGTGGTGGTGTGCTCATCTCCATCAAGGCAAGCTGTATCGATTCGACCGCATCGCCAGAAGCCGTATTCGCAAGAGAAGTTGTCAAGCTCAGGGAAGAGCGCATCAAGCCAAAGGAGCAGCTCACGTTGGAGCCTTTCGAGCGAGACCACGCCATGGTCGTCGGTGTGTACCAACGGTCCGGATAAAGCGAAAGCTTTCCGGCTTTGTCAAGATGAATGACGATGTTACAAAGAAATTCGGTTCAGTATGGCGTTTTGCGGCGCACAGAAGGCGCATCGAATATGCCGAGAAGGCAAGGCTTGGTGCTGGCGATTTTGATTTGACTTACTACTGGTGTGTTAGAATCGATAACACTGTAAAGCACCTTTCACTCCGACCTCCTCCAATGAGGACCAGTTCTCACAACGGCGAATCGGACGCTCGCGAGGAAGTATACGCACGGATGTCAAATTGCAATGCAGCCCTATCTCCATGGCTATCGTTGTGCCGCTTTCAAGAAGTGCAAGAATAATGCAGAAAACTGCCTCGCTAACCCAGATTTCCGACTCGCACTTTGGCGACGTTGGAGGGCGCAGGGCCAACATACATTTGCTCAGTTGGGGCTAATTTGGACTGCTCATGGAGCTCAAGAATGTGTAAGTGCATTTTGTAATTCAGTCTCTACCCCAATCTACGTGATGAACAACATTAGCTCTAGATCCGGAACCACAAAATGTGGTGTTGATGGATTATGATTAGTCTTACTGACCCCAACCTACACATTAGTTGCTCTTTATATTTATCGAGATTATGAACTTCACTGACTTTGTCCAGGTTTCACTGTCTGTACGCTTCTCATAGCCCTGCACACCTCGCCTAACCCCATACAGTACATATCTTACAACCAAGTTGTCTCAAAAATCGCCGTCAAACAAAGAATCTCCATCATCATCAAATCCTTCTTCCACTTCATTGATATCATCGAATAAGCTATCAAATCCGTCACTTTGCCTCTTCCTAGCAGGTGATCGCTTCGGTGACTGCAAAGCTTGTGGCAAGGAGTGAATGCTTTGGCGATGCCGTTGCGAAGACGATCGCCGCTGTGAAGGTGGGATCTGCTGCATTGACCGAAGAGTATTACGACGTTCGCTCGGAGGCCGAGACGATGACGTGATGGGACGGCCTCCTGGGAGTGCGAGGTTGGAGACAGGTCGGTATGGACTTCTAAGGGCTTGCGATTGACTTTCTCGAGACTGCGGCCTTGAGCCGCGGTGGGCAGGGACTGTGTAAGTTGGTGCTGAGGCAGATTGACGCGGGTTGTCTGGAGCGAAGGATGGTCGTGAGGCTCGCCGGGCAGGAGCTGCGTAAGTAGATGCTGACACGAACTGATCATAGTCATCCTGAGCAAACAGTGCTCTGGAAGCTCGACGAGCAGGTGTTGCGTACGTGGGAACATCCTGATTGAATGATGGCCTTGAGGCTCGACGAGCAGGAGGTGCATAAGTAGGGGCTGATTCGAATTGTCTAGAGTCGTCCTGAACGAATAGCGTACTACAGTGAATACACCACGTCAGTCATCTTCATGAGCAGGAAGGGAAAGAAAGTTCTAGTGAAAAATAGCAGGAAATTGTTGGTACGTACTCTTGTTCATATTCTTCACCGAAATCATGGAAAGCGAGACCGACTGCCCTAGATTCAAGGCGTCCGGATAGCAGTCTAGAGTGGAAAGATTGTCAGCTCAAGATCATCCATATTCTACAAGAATCAAACCCAAAAAAATCAAGGACCAATGCGAGATCCAAAGCAATCCAGGGATATTGGTACATCGCTGCAGTTATTCATCAACGAGGAAGCAGAACTTACAACTCAATATCCGCATCGTCGTCATTCTCAGCGTAATTGATCGTTCTCTTAGCGCCTCTTGTCGGTCTCTGAGCAACAGGCGCTGCGAGAGATGGATGTCCCATGAAAGGAGCACCTGGCATGGCGTTCCATGACGCTAGGGCTTCCCCCATCTGTTGCTCGGAGAGCTGCGGCATCTGAGCAAAGCCGATCGGAGGCCCGTAAGCAACAGGTTCTTCGTAAACAGCCTGCTTTTGTGCTTTGCGAGATTTCGAACGCTTCTTTGGAGTTTTGGCAACAACGACTTCGTCGTCCGTGGAGTCCTCATCATCATCTTGAACACCTGCTGCAGCGCGAGCATTTCGAGCAGCCAAGTTGGTCTGGTAAGCACCACAAACACAATCCGGGGAGCCGAAGTCTCGTTTCAAGTCGTCCTGAGGTTGATACTTGTACCCAGGATACTGAGCCGCATGCTGTGCAGCAAGCCGCTTCGCCTCTTGATAGTAAGGCGCCTGGAGCTCTTTTGGGAGCGAATGCCAGACACGACCCACCTTTTTGACGTCCAATTTCTTGCCGCCTGAGATGATGATTCGTTCCTCGGGGGTCATGTAGCCCATCACCTCGTCTGAGTATATACCCTGAGATCGGAATATGATGTAGCCGTTTGGAGGTCGAGGAATGTGGCCTGGTGTGCAGGTACATGCCCGGATAATCGACGTTCTGTGGAACGCTGGTCGTCTCTTGTTCTTGGTCACTCTGGATCGAGATGGAGTTACTGCGGTTGGGCGAGATCTCTTTTTCTTTGGTGTTTGAGCAACGTAGGGACCAGCGAGCGCGGAGGGATCGAATTCTGGCATTGCGTATTGGCCATTGGCGTTCAAGTTCGCGTTAGGGAAGGCAGCAGGGAACGCTGTACCATTCTGCTGCTGGTAAGTCTGCTGCAGGTAAGGCTGCGGCTGATAAGGCTGCTGCTGGTAAGTCTGCTGCGGGTAAGGCTGCTGTGGGTAAGGCTGCTGCTGGTAAGGTTGCTGTTGAGATGCGGGCTGTGGTGCTTGAATTCGCTGCGCTTGCCACTGTGGATCTGTCAGTACCTGAGTGCGCGGTGAAACCGCTGGCAGGGTATATCTCACACTCTTTGGGGCAGGTACGGGGTGGTAGTAGAATACGTTTCCTTCAGCATCGAATGCGGAATCATATGTTTCGTAATCCGCCTTCCTGTACCATCCGATGTCGTCACGGTAGTTGAACTCTGCGTTTGAGGGAATTGGAAGAGATTGAGTAGCGGGCTGGGGCTGCTGTGGTGCAGGAGTAGGGGTTCGAGGCGGTGCAGGACTAGATGTAGGAAGCATTCCGGTCAGTATTGACGGATCAATGTGAGCGTTGTCGGACTGTTCATACCCCTGACCACCGTAGCCATTGTTTGACCCATCGAAATCCATGTTGTTGAAGTCGAAGAACTCGTTGGCGTTCCAATCGCCGTTGTGACCATAGTTCTGGCCCGTCATCCTTGCGGTAATTTGTTGAGTTTGTGTTGATAGTTCTCTGAAGCTCGAGATCTTTGACCTTCGAGCAGTTGCTAATTCGTGTGAGTTCCGTGAGATAAACGTGCCAGACGCTGTATTCGTTGAACTGCAATGAGTGATCCGAACTGCTGAGAGAACTATGAAGAGAAAAGAGGATAACTGCATGGCCGCATCCGGCTGTTATAGACATTGCGTCTTTGTTGTCTGATATCGAAGTGTCGTCCATTGTGTTGACATACTTGGTGTTCGATGGTGTAGAAGCAGACAAAGGATGAAGAATTGGTATTCGAGAATACAAAGGGAATACACAATGTGATTCTTCTCTCTCACTACAAAGGCAATACGAACATTGTGTGGATAGAGGTCGAGACAATAGCCTTGTCTGAAGCCAGAGGAGTCGTCGGTGTCTGTCGATTCAGCCATTGAAGCTCTAAGGCAGAGTGCAGGTGGCGATGCCCGGAAGCTGTTGTCTCAGATTAGTGACTTCGATCCACATTGAACGGTGCGGCATGAACACAAGAAGTCGTTCGAACGCCAGATTGTCCAATAAAAGTGTTTGAAAAGTGCAGAGGACCAGAAATGGCGATGGTCAATGGAAGGCGAGAACGTCTTTCAACATGTCAGATGCAAGACAAAGAAAGAACAACGGACGTGAAGTCGTTCGTCCTTGCTTGGCATATCGATGGCGAATTTGGAAAAACCACCCACAGCACACAATAAACTCCTCAGATGCATTTGTTTCTGATACCCTCAATGACCATGTATCATCCACCAGTACGCTCCGAAACCTCATCTCCTCATCCTGGCACCTCCATTTGGTTCTTTCACCCCTCCTTCAATCCTCCCTCCTCCTTCATCTTCCTCACCTGTTCAACCATATGCCCCACAATATCCCCCGCCAACTGAAAATACTCCCCTTGCCGATCCCAATGCTCCTGACTCCCCTCTTTCACCTCCGGACAATGCCACTCATACATCTGTGTCAAATATAATTCCTTCTCCTTTCCTGAAGCCAAAATACTCGTGATGAATGAGCCGTTTTTCGGGAATTCGAATTCGATCTACCAGCAAACCCCAACAACGTCAGTCAAAAGCTCAACTCTCAATGTCTTGTCATTCTCGAAACCCCTTCGAAATGCGACCAGGATGGTGACTTTTTGCTTACCATAACAGGCCTCTTCAACAACGCTTTCTCCTCAATCTCTCCCGTAGATCCTTCACCTTTGATCATTCTTGTCAAAGCCACCAGATTTCCATCTCGATCTCGTTTTTCGTCGACGATTCTGCAAGCGCTGATTTGGTTGACGTGAGGGACGGGGTCGCGACAGATGGTTTCGAGGGCTGTCCAGCATTCGGAGCGTGTTAAGGCTTTTTCTGCTGAGGTGTCGGGAGGGTTGATGGGGGCTGTGGCGGAGGCGTAGATTACGACCATGGTTGCTGGCGAAAGGGGGAGAAATTGGTGTTGGAAGGTGGAGGTGATGGAATGGGTTTCTGGGCGAAGATTTTAGAAAAGAAGAGAGTGGGATGAAGGGTTTTATTAGCACTCGACTATCGCCCTGTTGTCACACGACACGCTCATCTCATCGATGTTCTGCAAGCTAACGCTGGCTCACTTCTGCAGTGACGTTGTTAATCAGATTTGGGTATGGTTTGTGTTGCGGCTGTAGCGGTTCTAGAAATATGTATAAACTTTCGTACCTGCATATGCCACGAAGGCTTCCACGAGATTGGCTCAAGAACACGATCTGCGAGAACCAGCTGCGACGCCATGCCACGTACTTCACCGCTGCCGGCACTGGTGTGGAAAGACAGAGCGGCGAATCACAGTGATGGAGTATGAAATAGAAGAAGGATTTTGACATCTGTCGTTCGCGTCATCGGTTGCATTTCCGAAGCGAGCGAGCCGTGCTGGGTTCCTGGCGCTCTATCTGTATTTGTTTGTCCCCCTTCTGTCTGAGTGCAGTGCATCAGAAGCATTCTCTAAGCCTGCTTCTCACCACCTGGAAGATCCGTACTGAATGCCATTCCATTATCATCATAGCTGGCGAAATCACTGCCCATAATCTCATCCAAACCTTTCCAGTCGACCTCGCGTCCTGGAGTAGTAAAGGTAGGCAGATCGCTGAAATCAAATTCCCTGCTCGGGCTCGTGAAAGGAGCATTACCCAAGTTGTCGGCATCGCTCAACATCTGCGCCAAGTGGCGCGAGAAAGGTGAAACTTGGTTGGAGCCATTGTTGCTACTTCCACTGACCGTGCGACCTCCTGGTGTTCGCTCAAGCCTGCTAGGCGTGGAACGCAGAAAGTATCGACCGGACGAAGGGGAACACATGAAGTCGTTGGCGTTCATATCGGCATTATTCGCCGCATTGGCGCTGGGTGTAAGCGGCTTGCGCTTGCGGCTGCTCTGTGTTGGAGTCTTGAGTAGGTCGGCCGCTAGCGCTTGTTGCTGCGATAGTGGAGTAATGTTGCGCTTGGAGGGTGTCTTGCGAGCTGGCGTCTTAAACACGGCACTCGGCGAGCCCTCAAACAAGTGCGACAAGTCATCGCCTTCCATGAGCGGAGGCGCTTTATTCTCCTGGTCACAAGTAAAGGCCTCAAAGATACTCACATCGGTTTGCTCCGAGATTGCGACGACCTTTCCGACCTTGTCATTGCCAGCTGAAGGCGAAGCGGACTTTGGTCGGGACAAGTCATTGCCACCTTCGAGGCTCTTTGCTTCGCCATCTCTGCGAGGCGATGGGAATATCAGACGCCTGGTAGGATTCGGCGTGAGATCAAGCTCGATTGGGCTTGCTGCTGAGCCCTGAGAGCGGACAGGACTAGACTGAATGGCCCGCATGTACTCAGGGTCACGATGCGCTCTTCGCACGTTGCCATCGTCGCTGGCTGCACGGCGTGGAGGGTCCTGTACACTGTTCGAGCGTGGTCGCGGTTGAGTCGGCTCGGGTTGCTGGACAGGCTGCGGAGCTGGAGCTGCGCGACGTGCGGGAACCATAGGCCGAAAAATGCCGCCTGCTGTGGTATCATCCTGGAACACCGGTTCGCTGTAGAAAGCCTCAGATGGCGGCTCGGCACCGTCTGTGGCATCCTCTGCCCTCTTTTTAGTCTTCCTCGGAACCGACTTGCGTGCCCACTTCTCCGGAGGACGCATGTTGCGGAACTTGTTGAACCACAGTCCACATGGGTTGCACACCACAGTGTCTTCAAAACCTTTGCCAGGCTGCGTCTCCTTTGTCTTCTTCATGGTCTTGCGGATGAGAAATTTCGTGGCCTCTCCTTCGCCGTCCCATTCTGTGACCTCGACGCCTACTGTTTCGCCTTCCCCAGCAACGTAGTCGAGAGGGCCGGGCTTGCCTTCCATGGGCCTCACATACAGCTTTCTCCAGGTCGGCGTTTCGATTGAGCCACAGTGCGAGCAGAATTGAGGCATGATGCCTTTGCTGATTGACTCCTGCAGTCGTCGTTCGATGATTTGACGTCGCGGGGCTCCTGAACCAGACCGAGGTGCTTTCGATCGTCCCTCAGTGTCACTTGGGGCAGGCGAGCCAGCTTCTGACTCGTTGCATGTGTGCGAGCGCTTTAGAGGTTGCCTCTTTGGTTTGGCTGCAGGTTTCGAAGGCAGCGCTAGTGAGCCTCGTCGGGATTGAGATGGCAGTTCGTCGGGGGGCGACATGGCAGATGTCGCACGGGCCGCAGGCTGAGGATGAGATGGAGCTACACCCGAGCGCGGTCGTTGTCTTTGGTTGAAGTCAGCCATCAGTATTCGCAAAGAGCTCGTCTAGCCAATCAACATACCCATTCGCGTTTGACTCAAAATCTGGCACATCACTGCTGAATTGCATGTCCGAGTACGGCACGGGCGTGCCATCAATCGGCGATCCCTCGCTCTTAATGAGAGGTCGTTGGTGGTACTTCCGTGGCTGGTAACGTGCAGCAATGTCAAGATCCTCCGCGTCTGGGCTCCGATCTGCCTCTTGCTCCATGCTCTCCATGATCGATCCACTCATATATCCGCTGTCTGCCATGTGCGATGAGATCGTGGGAAGTCCTGGGCTGCTAGGCTGAGGAACATTGTATCCTGGCACGATAGGAGGAGAGGATGGGATGTCCATGGGTGTGCCTTCGCCATTCATGCTGTTACCAGGTGAGCTGCCTTCTGGGGACGTCATGACATCTGACATCAAGTCTGCTTCGGATATCGCGTCAGAGTCTGCCACAGATGCTTGCCGCAGTGAGCTTCTCGGAGCTATGGACTGCATCCGCTGATTCATTGGTCTGGTGCGCTGGGGCACTGGCGTTGGCACACGAGGTGGTGGCTCGAGGTTACTACCAGGCGCTGCAGGTCGCTTCGCAATCGGTCGGAACATTTGCATCGATGAAGTGGTAGCGGCAGTCACTCTCAAGTCAGACGATCTTGAACCAAAAGAGGATTTGCCACGCCAGTCAGCCTGCACGACCTTCGCACGCTTGCGTGGTTGGCCATCCTCATTGTAGAAGGCATCATTGTCTGCCTGAATTGGCTGCTGTTCAGGAGGTTGGATAGACTGTGGTTGCTGCATGTGGGTGGAAAAGGATTCACTCCGCGTGCTGCCGCGCGAATCGGGCCGGTTGTGTTCCGAGAAAGAAGATGCATTTCCAGAGAAGCTCTGATGACGTAAAGACTCACCACGAGAGCTCGATTTGGAGGCGATCATGGGACTGCCAGCTCGGCTGCCTGGAGCGCTGTGAGAATGAGTCGAAAATGCGGGGTTGTAGGCAAAGCCAGCATCTGTGGGGGTCTGCTGGATCCCTCCGACTCCTGATTGCTGCTGACTGCTCATCTCCCCACTACTCTGTGAACCAATTCCGAAGAAGTCTTCCAGTGAGGCAGCAGCAGAGTTGTCACCCATGGAAGCAACTCCAAAGTCAAAGTACTCGTTCTGTTGAGACTGCGCCTTGTTCACCGGCACATTCCAGGCGTTCGGGTCGAAGCCAGCCGACGTTGCAGGGCTCATGCTGCGGAATGCATCCATATTGTTCGATGCTTGGGCCGGTCTCGCCAACGGCGTCAACTTGAACTTGACTTCAAGCGTTTCCTTGACGCCGTTGTTGAAGAGGGCGATGTTTTTGCAGACGCGTCCGGTGATCATGGTTTTGCTGCTCTCGACGGCAGGGGTGGTGGCGACGAGCAGAGCTGACATCCGCCCTTGGCCGACAACGGGCGCGTCATATTCGCTGTAGTCGTAGGAGTAGACAGAGAAGTCGCCAATTTCCAGTTGGGACACAATCTCGGGCGAAGCGGACACAATGGCGGAAACGCACTGCTTCAACTCGATGACGCCGACTTGTGACTGCTCGTCGATAGCGACGGCGGGGATATTGAGAGTAGTCGGAAGACGTGCCAGACAGGTAGTTTTGGCCTCAGCATCGAAGGTGTACAATATCTTGACACGCATCGGACGCGTTGGTATGTCTGCAAGGTCGAGCGCTCCATCTTCGCCGCTGGAAGCCATGTTCAAGGTTGATGTCGGAGGTCAAGTTGGGTTTGGAAGGTTGGAGGGCCTTTGTAGGCACCTCGCCGGCGGTCTGAGGAGTTCGTCTCGTGCTACAGCATACTGTGGCGGAGGACGTGGGTGTCGGTACACGTTGAGCAGAGCGGATGGCGGCGATGGCGACGTGTCTGACGCGTGAACAGCAGATGCGATGTATCCAAGTCGAAGGTAGACTGATAGAGTAGGCGGCGGAGAAGCGTGTCGACGTGTTGAACGGGTGCAACGGGGCGGTGGTGGGTGGTGGTGGTGAAGAAGAGAGATGCAGTGCGCGTTTGAAGCTCGCAGAGACGCGACTAACTAGGATCGTAGATCGACGTAGCTGGCGGCTGGTAGCCGTTGGCTTGGCACTGCACGTGCACGCGAGTCATGCAGCAACAGGCAACTTTTGCGATCGCTCCCAGTCGACCATCTGAGACAGCATCCACCAACACACATCGCCCAATACCGCAGACATGGCCTCCGGAGCATCAGACCAGAAGATCCAGTGAGAACCACCCAGATTCTGCGCGGCGCGACATGAAGCTGACTTGTGCACAGAGAACTCCTTGCGAAGCCACGCGCCGAGCTCACGTATGACCATCAACACTCCCACTCTTCGCGCACTACTAAACCACAGAACAGAGAATATGAGATTTCCCTCCTCGAGACACACGAGTTCACCTCCGGCCCGCTTTCGCTGCTGCAAACCGCCGTCCGACAACACACCCAGGTTCTGATCTCGTGTCGCAACAACCGAAAATTGCTCGGACGAGTAAAGGCGTTTGACCGCCATTGCAACATGGTGCTGGAGAATGTGAAGGAGATGTGGAGTGAGACACCGCGCACAGCAGATGGCAAGAAAGGACGTGTGGTCAACAAGGACCGCTTCATCAGCAAGATGTTCCTCCGAGGAGACAGTGTCATCCTGGTTCTTCTCAGTTGAGCGGCGTAAAATCATTGGGTCAATCATCAAAGCGAGTTCGTCGATCGTAGTCCGAGGTTGGGACAGAGAGCGCGGAAGAAATGGTGTTCAGGCGCACGGCGTGCAAAGAGTCGCAGGTGTGGATACGCAGGTCATTTGGGGTACGACAATTCATTCCGCGCTTTTGCAAATCGGCCGGCTAATGCGATCTGAAACCGCAGACCGCGATATGACAAATATGAGCGCAGAAGCGACAAGCGAGCAAGTGCTTGCAAGAATGAAAAGCAGCCGCCGCGGCGGGCTATGCATTACGACAAACTATTCTCTTCGTACCATGATTATTGCGCGCATTGCCAATTGATGGCCACAGCTCACTGCATCATAGGGCCTCTGCCAGACCGGACAGAAAGATGGAGAGACCATATGCACCAGGATCGGGCACCTCCTCATAACCACTCCCACCAAGGTACACAGTCCGGCCGAGGCTGGCTTGCATGCCTTTGGTCTTTTTCGAGCCCTCGTCCGCAGCCTGCGCCGCCTTCTTCACATCTCCACTCGAGTTCAGCTCCTCAACAAAAGGCGCCAGAGCATCAACCAACGTCCTGTCACCAGGCTTCGCCGGCGTATACTTCGCGAGACTTTGACTGGCCTCTTGCAGAGCACTTGCCCAAATTTTCGGATCTGCCTGCTTGCTGCCTCCGTTGCCTTGCAGGCGAATTCCGTATGCAAGCGCGTTGAGGAAGATGGCATAAAGCGCACCACTTGTGCCATCCATATCGGTCTCGACCACGCCGATGATCTCGTTCAGCCACAGCGCAGCATCGTTTTGTCCTCCAATCTCGGAAAGCTTCTTCTTGATGCCTTCGGCACCACGCTTCAGGCCGATACCGCAGTCTCCGTCTCCGACCACCGTGTCGTACCGCGTGATCTCCGGCTCTGCCTGGATCAACTTGTCTAATGCCTGACCGAGCACTTTGTTGGCATATGATGCATCGATCTGGATGTTCGAAGGCTGGTTTTCGGCTGTCTTGTCGCGTGCCAGCTCGCGAGTCTCGGTCGGGCGGTTGGTCCAAGTCTTGGAAGTGATAGCAGCAGACCAGCCTGCAGCCTCGGAAGGTGCGTCTAGCAGCTCCAGAATCGACTTTCCGACACCTGTATCGCTGGTCTTCAAAAGTGAAATCGAGAACCCCAGGCCGTTCAGCGATGTCATAAATGTCCCAGCGATGATGCGCACAGGCTTGATACCATAATCACTTTCGAGCTGTTTCACGACTTCGGTTGTGATACCTCCGAGCTCCAGAACGCTCACCGCGCCAAGGTTGTTGATCAACAGCACGGTTTCGTCCGAGCTCGATATCTTGAGAAAGGCGCGATCTTCATCGCTCTGGTCCAGCATGTTCTTAAGCATCAGCTTGATGTTCTCTGGAAGATTGGCAGCAGCGCGCTGGGAACCAGCCTCGTTATGGATACCCATACCCAACTCAATCTCATCACGCTTGAGGTCTTCTTCGTGATCTTCCCTCCCTGGGACGTGGACATGCGCCAAAGAAGATCCCATGGACACGGTGTTATCCGCCACAGCTTGTGCGACTTTATGCACATCTTTCAAGCTCGCACCAGTCGCTGCGAGGGCTCCTGCAATTTTGTGGATGAGGACTGTGCCAGCAATACCTCTCCGCCCAACCTTACCGCCTTTTGATCTCCCAACAGCAACATCGTCGCCCATGACCACCATTTCCACCTCTAGTCCTGCAGCCTTGGCCTTCTCAACAGCCATACCGAAGTTCAACACATCACCCGTATAGTTCATCACCACAACCAGCACGCCTTTGCTCGTTTCTACACGTTGTGAAATGCATCTTCGGACTTGCTCTGCGGAAGGCGAAGCGAAGATTGTGCCTGCGACTGCGCCGCTCAGAAGTCCCGGACCTACAAATGCTGCGAATGAGGGCTCGTGTCCGGATCCTCCACCTGAGATTATGCTGACTTGTGCTGGAGCGGCATCGGGCCTGAGGTATATAACTTTGTTTTCGGCATCGAATGCAGTATTGGGGTTTGTGAGAGTAATGGATTCGAGAGCCGAAGAGACGAGGTGTGTGGGATCGTTGATGAAGTGTTTTGACGACATGTTTGGCGCAATTGTTCACGATTAAAAATAAGGAAGAGTGAGGAACTGAACGAGCGAGAAGCAGCTGTTCGCGACAATATAGCAGCAGTTCGATGGGCCCGATTTCGCGTTCCCTCGCAAGGCAATAAGAAGCGGGGCAGCGCATGATGCATACAAACGACGCGGGGAGCATTGAGCGAGCTCCACCGAACAAGCAAGGATTCAACAGACGGTTCAAACGCCGTCACGAATCTGGGCGTTCTTCAACGAGGGTCTGGAGCCTTTACTGATCTCTTCAGGTCAAAGTTTGGACTATCTCTCTTTTTCTGCTGCTCACGATGTCGGTGAAGGACATCAGACCTGCCAGACTAGGAGGGAAAAAGATGAAGCGAGGTTCCCGCAATGACGGATCAGGAAACCCGAAGCACTATCTTGGCGTTGGAGAGCGTGCGTGGAGGGAGGGTCAGGCACCAACAAGAAAACATGCTGACTCCAACCAATACGCCTCAGCTCAACGGCCTGTCTTTCCTTCACACTAGAACCATTATCACGAGGACGACGGAGAAATCGAGAGCGAACACGATGAGGTTCCCCGCGTTCATCAGCATATCCGCAAATCCGCCCCCAAAATCCTGGGCCAAGCTCGCTACAATTGATTTCCTCGAGAGTTGGCTATCCTCCCCACATGTTCCTTTGGAAGATACCATCCTGTCCACTTCTGCTCCAATGCATGACTGACCCCGGTCTCTGGATCCCATAGACTCTTCTCTTGCAAGTACTTCAACACTGCAAAATCTGCATCACCTTCGGCATCGTACCCAAAGATGCTTTGCACGGTTTCTGGAGCACCCCATAAATTCCACGAGTGTGCGTTTGGATCGGGACCTGTGATTTTCTGATGTGAGTTGAGGTTTCTCACATCTGCCATTGCCGAGGTCTCTTTCACGGCATCGGCAGTGACAGCATCGCGATATGCTGCACGCTCTGGATCAGCCATGTAGATGCTACCCATTACGAATGAAGCTTGCTGCTTGATCCAGACTCGAGGCATGCGCGCTTTCTCATAGATGTCGATCGCTTCTGGCATGGAGATCACTCCGCGTACGACCTCACCGATGACACGACCTAGGAAAGCTCCGTCTTCCATCGAAGTAGCAGCACCTTGTGCGAGATGATTCACCATGGAGTGAGCTGCATCACCCATGAGGACGACATTCTTTTGCGGACTTGACCAAGAATTCAGCGGACCAGTGATCAACAACGGCCAGCGCTTCGAAGTTGGCACAAGTTTCAAAATATTCAAAATCCTCGGATCCAGATCCTTATAGTATTCAACCATCTCCTTCATATCACAATCCTCCTCGACATCCGTCACCGGCTCATCTCGATAATGCGACATCACAGCATTCCAATCCCGTCCAGCAGCAATCGGATACTGAATAATATACCCCTTCTCCAACGACCACACGTCAATATCATTGCCGAACTCCCTCGCCTCTGGGACTTTCTCATAAACATAGTCATAAGGCAACACTGCTCGATATGCAGCATTATTCGTCGGAGCTCTCGGCACAACTTCCGGGAACAAAGTCTTTCGTACCACGGATCTGAGTCCATCACTCCCAATCAACAAATCAAACGAATACTTATTCCCCTTCTCCGTCACGACTTCCACAGGTTCCCCAAGCTCCTTCTCATATTCGATCTTGACAACCCTCTCCCCCACCAAAATCTCCACCCCATGCCTCCTCGCCGCTTCCGCTAATCCCGTATGTAAATGATGTCGATGCACCATCCACCACGGGAAACCAAACTCTCTCACAGTCTTAGGATATAATTCTGTCCTCTGAATGATTTCGCCTTTTGTATTCCGCATATTGATATTTCTGCATTGAACTAAATCGTCGCCGATGATTTTGTCTACGCCGTAACGAATCAAGAGGCGGGAGACATTGGGTGTCATTTGGATCCCGGCGCCGATTTCGCCGAGTTGGGAGGCGGCTTCGAGGATTGTTACGCGACAGGCTCTGTTGGTGGAGTGGGAAATGCTGATTGAGGCCAGCAGGCCGCCGAGGCCGGCGCCTATGAGGCCGATGTGGAGGGGTTGGGGAGGTTCTTGCATTTTTTGTTAGGAGATGAAGGGGATGTGAAGATTTTATTCAAGTTCTGCCAATTTGGAGATTCTTTTGAGAAAGCGTATAGCTGATGAGATGCAATGCAGAGCTTCCTGATGAGCAAGACATATAATTGCACCTTTCCCCGCAGTATCACCGGCAATTCGCATGTTGTTCCTGCATTAGCTTGGAGCTGTGTTCCGGGGCTTTGGAGCTGTGCTACTCACGCACGAGCGCGTTGCTCTCATTCAATCCACGAGATTTACCAAAGACTCTCTACAATCCGACCCGCTGCCAAGCTATGAAGCTGTAGACAGTTCCTTAAAAGGCCTCGACAGGACTGCAGCGAACCGCTATTGCCAGACTTGGAATCTCGTTGCCTCTCAGGTCAGCGTGTCTTGCGTATAGGTGAATGCTATCGTCTGCTACACGAATATCAAGTTTCGGACTGGTATACGACCGGAATCTCCGTCAAGCAGCAGGGATCTTCCTGGTACTTCCGGGCAAAGAAAGCTTGTGAGCAAACATGCTTTTCCATGGAACGAGGTTTAAGTTTCAGAGGGTTCTTCCCGACCAGGGAGATTGCTTGATATAGTATGGTGTTGCGTAATGAGGGGACTTCATCTGAGGACCTTCCAGACTTACGGTGGTGAAGTGGTCTTGTGCTACTGCGAAGAAGCAAGTTCGGGACAGGACAGATTGTCGGTTTGGCTATGGCAGCCACCTCGTATGAACCGGAATCAGCCCTAACTGCCGGTTCTTCCGTTCCGGCAGTAGTAT